CAAATCCGTAGCCTATTAATATTTGGACATAATGTCTGTTTTTGAAGGACTTTGATTCCTAGGGACTTTCCCAGTGTAAGCATATATTTTCAGGTGTAATTGTACCCAATAGTTCTCAAACTATTTATAAACTTTCTTTTTAAAAGATGACTTGTACTTGTTGGAACTTGAATCTAAACCAAATTGCTGCATTCGGTTTCAGGTTATATCCTGATATTTTTGGATAAGTATATGTAAACCCTAACCCCTGAAGGCAGTCCTTACTCAGGGCTGAAATGCATACAGATTTTTTTTCTATAATTATTCCATGGGCATAAGTAGACTTAACAAGGTGTAGCTTGCATGCCAGACTGTTCGGGTCATGCTGCTGTATCACAGATCCAGTATGCTGTGTGGTTGGGGGGGAATGCTTTTTATTAGGCATCAGTCTTTAAAAGCTTGTCATGACAGAAGGTGAAATTGTCATGATATGCCCTGGTGCATAAATACTTTTCCAATGCAACTTTGAGCTGGCAGCTGTATTGTCCTCTTGTTTCCACGAAATAATAAAGGACTAGAAGGAATGAAGGACATTTTTTCTGTGAAAGGCCAGATTCCCTTGGCAGTAATCTGTGGAAGCTGCATGCTGGTGGTGAACTGGCCAGGTGCCTTCTTGTTTGTGAAATTTGCAGATTGCTTCTTCACTGCAAGGCAACTGTGTTTTATTTTCCTTTTCTGCTTCCCCCAGTTTACCTCCATATGAAATTTCTAGACTCCTCTTCTAAGGATCTGTTCCTGTCTCATTATGGCTAAATAAGCAGTGGTCTGTATTGGAAAGGTTTCTAGATGATAGTAAAAGAAACACCATGGAGCCAAAGAGAGGCCATGGGTTGGAGGAAGATGTTACATAGGCTGGCAATTCCTCATCCATGCACTATAATGTAGGTTGCAATAAAATTATCTATGCAATGTCAATATTTGATCAGACTGAAGACAGTGCAAAAACTATGGGAAGAAATGAGTAAATACACAAGTAGACAATTTTCAAATCCAGGAAGGAATAATAATGTAGAATTTTTCTTTCTTTTTAAGAGGAGGTGTCATCAGGAAAGAAAAAAGAGTAGTTTTTGGAGCTCACAGTATAACTCATGTGTTTTCTGTATCTTCATGATCCCCCCTACCCCCGCAAATCACAGGAAAAAATATCAAGCCAGTCCAAGAAGGGCCTTGTTTATCTCTAGAGGTTAACTACTAGCATTAGAAGAATCAGCGGGCAGGGTGGGAAAAAAAGAAATATCTTGGAAAATAAATTTCTGTTATATTTTCCCCCAGGAGAACCAAAGAATGAAACTACTCTGATGGCAGTAATTATTTTCAGGGTAATGAGTGAAATTATGTTAATTGCAATATGGGGTATTCATTTTGAGCTTTTTCTTAGCTACATGTTTTATTCTGGTTTTGTGCATTATAACATAGAAGCTTTTCTGCTAATTCTCTGTTTGGATAATCTTTATTTTTGTTTCCTGTTGTGCTGATGTTTTGTGTGTAAATTTCTTTATAATTTCTTTATAATGCTAGCTTGAGGACTATATCATTATGCAAGTGGACCTCCACTTTCACAACAGGAGTTTCCCAGCCGTCCCCTGCTGTCTTCTGCATGCTTCCTGCAATCTGTGAAGGTTGCAAGGCTCCTCAGAGCAGGTCTGGGGAGAAAAAAAATGATCTACTGCTGGTGTTCATTTCACTGATGGAAAGGCAGTACCAGTTAGAACCAGGCTTCCAGCTCTAATATTGGATGCCTTTGTTCTGGTGTGATGAAATACAGGTGGGATCTCCTGGTTTAAAGTGTAGAAAGGGAAGAGAAGAAAAATGTGAACCCAAGGGCTGGCCTTGATCTTGCATGGGGGACAGCATACAAAAGTTTTAAATAAATAAATAATAAAAGAATGGCAGTAGCCTATGTAAGCACTGTGTTAAGTAAGTTGTACTGTTTCATTTTCACGCACACATTTCCAAAATCTCATCTCCAAAATCTCATTTCCCATGAAACCAAACTGTGCAGGAAATGTATGAGTTTTGAGAGCAAGCATGACCATCACAATACTGCTTTGGACTTCATGGTAAAGGATATGAAAGTAAAAAATGAACATATGAAATGGGTGGTTGGAGCATGTGAGCCTGCTGCTAGTTTCTGATCCTCCAAATACACTGTGCCTGTGCCTATCCAGTAGCTCGTTGGCTGCTCTAAAAACAAAGCATTGTGTCTTGTTGCAAAATAAAATAACAAGCGATAATTGCTTTGTTAAAATGGTGTGCATCCTTCTATAATATGCAAGCTACCCTGAAAGACCGCAAGGTTGTGATGTGTAGATGTGAGATCTTTCTGTCTACCACCACCTGTTCTTTTTATGGAAATATAAACAGCTTTATAAAAGGCCATTTTCCAATCAGGTCCAGGACAGAAAAATCTATACTTAATCTCTTGCAAGCTTCTTTTTGAATTTGCTTGCAGATTGTGTCCTGAAAAGCAAGTATAGATCTCAGGTTAATTAGTAACATTGCATAGTTTTTTTCAATCGTCTTCTAAGGCAGTGGTCAAAATGTTCAGGTCATAGTCATTAAATATAGGCTTAAATATTTTATTAATTATTGGGAATCTGATTACATTGACGGGTCTCTTGTTGTATTAGGACGTTCCATCTCTGGCTGCCTTTCCCTGTAAAGCCGGGGATTAATTCCATTCAAGCAGGTCTTGTCCTTACAGGCCTTCATTGTCATTCCAGTGGACTCTTCGCAATTACTTTTAACTGATTCAGTATTTGCAAACAAAGCTTCGTGAGTATATGTAACACATTCCTTCCATCCTCTAACCTGGTGCTCTGCTCTCCAGAGTTCCCAGGGAGCAGGACCACATTCCCTATAAAATACTCACTTGAGCTTTTTCATATATTGCGATACAGTCTATGTTAGGTAGCATTTAGCATCAGCACTTTGCCTTATTGACTGGAGATGATGGTTATCTTTGTGTTCTGCTCTCTGTCCTGTTGCAGCCTACACTCTAGTTTATTTTGATTATGCTGACAGTTTACATCAAGTCTAATTCCATTCAATGGACAAGGAGTAGTGTGGGTTTGAAATGACTATATTTATGATTTGGCTTGATAATCACATACTCGGAGTATTCTCACATTTCATTCCATGCAAGTCATTCAGAGAACTACAGTAACAGCACAGCCTACAGATTAAATAAGGAAGGCACTGTGATACCGCTGGTCTCCCTGAGGGTGCAGTCAGCCCAGAGAAATGTTGTTTCTTTTGCGATCACTGCTGCATAATAGAGAGGCTCAATGAGGTGCTCCTGCCTATTTTTGGTCTTGTTTGTATCAGGTTATCCTGATACTATTTGCATTCAAGCAGTTTATCTTCCTGTTTCATTGCTGCTCAGCTCTCTACCAAACCACAAAGCAGAATGACCTGTGTATTATAGAAGAGCATTGTACGAACTGCAGAACTCGTTCCTGTATCCCATAAACTGACTCAGTTTTATCAGGAAGCTGGCCATGCCAGCAGGAAATTCCCAGTTCCCAATATGATGGGAATCCAACGTTTTTCATCAGTCTCTGGAACGAACTGTTTTAATAGTGCCACTTCTCCTGGGTAGGAAAGAAGCAGTTGTGAGCCTAAACATGACCACATTGTCCCTCTGTGCTGACTCTTTCTGCCAGATTTTCACATATCAGGCCAGTTGAGTTAGAAGAGGAAACAATGACTGGTTGCTTGTCACAGTTTGTTTCTTGTTTTAAATAATAATTAAAGGGGTGATGGCCACAAATGATTTGTCCAAAGGGTGATTGGGCCCCTTGGCAAATCAAAAAGGCATGCACTTTGAAGCAGTGATGTGTGAGGGAGAGACACCTTTGCTAGGTACCTGTGCACTTTGGGGTTGATTAGTAATCGTGACCACCGGACAAGAGCTTGGCAAGAGCAGCATGACGGGTTATATCATCTGGGTTGCTAATCATGATAACAAAGAATCACCAGTAACCATGAGAACACCAGTGGTTTTCCACTCATGTGAACTCACCCTAAGTCAAACTTGCCACACATTCCACTTGCAATTCTGTTTGGGAAGCAAAGTGGCAGCGAGCAATAGTGCCTCAGTGCTTAGGTTCCACTTCCATTTCTTTTTCATAGCCATAATAATTTAATGTAAATGATGTGTGGTTGAGTTCCCGGAAACTTCAGTCTCTGGTTTTATCCATCATCCAAAGAACCAAGAGGCATGGAAGATGTATATTTTTCTCATGGGAAAAAATTTATGGCATTGGCCAGAGAAGGAAAAGGTCCAGGGAGCTTGTGTTGCCTTTCCCTGCAGGAAAGTTCAAAAACTTTGAAACTAAACAGTGGTGCCTGTTTCTCTTTTTTCTTCTTCTCTGCCAGTCTCTTCCCTTGGATATTATGACATTTTTTGATTATAAATCTGAGGGATTTACTAATCCAAAGATTATTAATTTTTGTAGGCTAGACCCTTTTCTGGCTGAAGATCCAGAATAAAATGCTAGTAAATAAAAACAATTATGTTGTATGTGTTTAAAGGAATGATAATATTAAATTTAACTTTAAGCTTTCATCTATATTTTTTACACGGTTTGTCAGTCAGACATTTGACTCCCAACAACTAATTGAATGATTGCAGTACTTTAATTTAACCAATAGGTTAATTGCATTCTGGTTAGGAAGTTAGCTGTGCTTAATTATAAATGATGAGAAATTATTCCCATCAATTCTTAATAATCTTCTCATATCTGTGCATACTTGTTGCACATTCAGTTTTATTATTCCCTAGTTGCGCAGCCCTATTCCAATTTCCCAATAGTGAGGCAAGGGGAAAAGGCAGTGGTACATTTTAGAACTCATTAGCATTTCTGTGATGATTCATCTCAGTTGACGTGGAAAAACCCGAATGTGTGATGATGTTTGCGGTGTTATCAGTAATATTTTGTTTCTTTTTTCTTTGTTAGATCTCATTAATGGAGCCCAGGAACAGTGTGAGCTACCTCCCATGGATGGTTTTCCCCACTGTGAGGGCAAAATAAAAGTAAGATTAATCCTGTATCATATTTCTTTATATTGTATGTGTCTTTATAAGCAAAACAATTCAGTCCCCTCCTGAGACAATGTAAGCAAACTTATATTTACAAAAGGCAAACAGTGAAAAAGTTGGGACTTCTTCAGTTTTTCCCCAGCACTACACAAAGACATGTAAGTACATAAAAGCATAAGAACATAATATGTAGTACTGTGGCCAGAGTGCCCAATGATGCATTCATGAACTGTTGCGGAAAAGGACAGCTCCCAACATTGCAGTTGTGTTAGTTGGTGGTTTCAATTAACTCTGATTGGAACTAGAAGAATCCAGGTTCAGACATCAATGAAAGAACAGATGCTTCTCCTGCAGCAGTCCCTTCCACACCCACAAATCTGTTGTACAGCATGAGTGAAAAGTTCACTTGCATGACAGCAGTTGTTGCCCCATATACTTTTAGTTAAGGTTACATCTTGTCTTATAGCCATTATCATTATCATCTATGAATCACCTTACTTCTTAAAGAACTATCAAGCCAATGGAAGGTGTGTAAATGGACTGGAATGAGTATGATAGCCAACCAGGTTCTAATAGGTCTTCATCTAATAAAGCACTATAATTGTCAATATCTCTGGCATTAAAGTCATTCTTTATGTGTTTTTGAGAAGTCCTGCTTGAGGGTATTTAAACATTTCATAAAATTTAAAGAAAAGAGTTGTTCATAAGGAAATTTATTGCTTGAACATCTCTGGTGTACATACAATTTTGACTTGGAATGACAGATTGTTGTAAGTGTTGCATGTAACATAATAATATATATCTAGTTTCAGGCCACCTGTATGTTTGAAATATTAATCTAAATTTTGAAATATGAACAAGTTAGGTACCTAACAGATATGAAACTCACTTTAGTTTCTGAACTTCAATACAGTTTAATTTGATTAGTTTTGATAGATTTCACAGTTATAGCCAATAGTTTATCTTTCTGACAAAGCATTTGAATAGTGCTGTGCTGAAGTTTACAAGTAACATAGAAACAGAACGAGTCAGAAGGGGTCATCCGGGCCATGAAGTCTGACCTCCGGCACCAGCCGGCTCCGCTCACGACATGCCCAGATGACAGTGAAATCCAGATGACAGTGTGAATAAATACTGAGGTACCTAAATGTGGAAGGAAGAACATTGTGGAGCAACAGTGAAAGCAGTGGCACACTACCTTGTTGGCATAGTAGTTTTAGTCCCTCATGGTTTACCTGTGATTTCATGGATCAAGGAGCCCCACAGGCTATGTGCTCCAGGCCAGGTATCTCTCTGTATAAAAGATCATACCTACATGGTTAAACCATGTGGCCGTCACTAACAGGTAATTCTGCCTTTTTCTTTCTCAAGGTTGAGAAATCATTTTCTGCTACTAACTGAAACCTACATTGATGTTATTGGTCTAAAATGTTTATTTTCTACCTGAAGTGCCTGAAGTTTACAAGAAAGTCTTGATGTTTGACTCGTAAACACCTAACCTTCTGACTGGGTGCTGTCATTTTGCATTCTAGTGGATGAAAGATATGTGGCGATCCGATCCTTGTTACGCAAGTTACGGTGTGGATGGGTCTACATGCTCCTTCTTTATTTACCTCAGTGAGGTCAGTCAATTTATATCACTACTTTTATATAAAGCTATAGGAAATTATAGATGGATAATTGAATTTTTAAATAATATTTCAAGTATTATTGAAAGGGTGAAGCAAAAAGTTCCTTTTATTGGACAAATGTATCTTTCTAGGGGAAATGACATCTAATTCAGCTTTTAACTAACCGCAGTGTATCCTTATGTCCAATCTAGACAAACTATGATGAGTGTTAACTATCATTAAGATCCTGGATTGTTTCTTTAAGACTGCAATCCTAGTCCCCCTGTGGAAGATGCTTGTAAACCTCTGAAGTCGAAAACTTACGAGCATCCAATGCAAGGCACAGCAGCAGTGGTATCTGCTCACACCTTGAATTTGTTTAGATACCAATTTTCACTTGTCCAGATTTATCTGGATAAACATTTTCAGTTGTCTCAGGGCTAACAGGGGGAGGAAAGGAAGCTGAGGTGCTGATTTGAACTTGCACAATTCTGCAGTTTCAGCCCCCTCCTCTCCTGATTCCCCACCCACTATGCCAACTTTCCCTACTCGGCAGCTCAGTGTGACCTTGGAGCAGGGAAGGCAGTTGACATGATTAGTTTCAGAACAGCTGTGAGGGGACTGAGCATGATTTGGATGCTGAAAAAAATAGGAGAATGGCAGAAAATGGTCTTTGGGCTAACAGGAATAGTATTTGAATGTCCGATCGCTGTGAAGCAAATGTCTTTTGAATAAGCAGGCCTGGATGCTTATACCTGTCTATCATGGCCTTAGTTATAGGAGAATTTTCATACTATAGTGTGTCGTCCTAAATTGGAGCATCTTGAACCAGGTTATGGTGATGCTGGAGAAAGTAGTTCTGTCCAATATTCCCATTTCCCAAGATTCTAGCACAGAAATGTCCTTTGTTAAATAATGTACTATTATACATAATAATATATGTGCAAACAAAAAATCACATGCATTACATAAAGTCATAATTCTGAGTAATACCTATACTCTTCTAGCAATCACCAAGTATACTAATCCTATTTATCATATAGTATTTTCAGAAAATCAGACTATCATTCCAAGAGTTCTGAATTTATTAGTGTCCAAATCAAATTCCCATTTCATATAAATAAAAAACGGCACCCAGAGTTGTTCAAATTTATGTTATTTCCATCTACCCTCCTGTACATGAACAATTTCATTAACTTTACTACTGAAGCGATGTACCCACAGAAAAGCCTTTTATTCTTGTTTTTATTTTTTGTATAAAGCATTCTTCCTGTCATAGTTTTCATAATTACAACTGGCAGGCCTTTAACTGTTTGTTGTTTATTATTGTTTCTATAGATTTTCTCATAAATTATTTAGTTTATGTACGATCAGTTAAACTTATGAAAGTATAGCAAGCCATTTCTGTATGCTAATATTTGCTCTTTTTAAAACTTAGAAGGTGGAGATTTTTGCTTTCTTATCTTTATTTCTATTTTCTATGATTATCTGTGTATTACAAGTGTACACAAGTATTTTCTGTTGTTGAACTTTGCTCCCTAAAGCAAGGATTTAAGGGAATGTGGACATTTACTTAATAGAATGAAAGTAAATTAAGTAAATTAATCATCAGATTCCTTGTTGATGATGACATTGTGGTATATGGAAGGATTCCTGTATTAAATATTTTAAATGCTATATGCATATGTTGCTTCAAAGCAACTTTTTAAACAAGTGACATATTTATTCTCTCAGCTTGCAGAAAGCAATGGAAGGCTAAAACATTTCCTTAAAGCAAGTTAGCATGTTAATATCTGCCTCCGTTCAGGAAGTAGCTTGGTTTTTCCTGGTATGCATTACTGGTATCTTTTTATAGACATGCTAATTAAATTCAGTTATGATAACAGAACAAATACAATTCACAGGAATGCCAGAAAAGGAACTGCAATACTTTTGGGTTTTTGAGTTTTTGCAGATCAATGAATTCTGTTTTTCTATCTATTCAGTATTCAGCTTTCCTTTATTTTGATATAAGTTTTGAAATATAGAATATTACATTTTAAAAATACAGTACTACATTTTTAAAAGCTTCCATTAAAAATATTTTCATATCATAATGGGTCAGATATGAATAGTCAGTCATAAATCTAACCTGACAAATTGTCCATTTTCATAACTGGAAGCAGAATGTAAGTACTGGGTTTGTATATACTTTCTGTAAGGGCCGGGATGTGGGCGGAAGCTGGGACAGGCAGAATACCAGGACCACAGTACTGGTGTGGGACCATATCCTGCAACTTAGTAGGGCTAGAGTCTGGTGGCATGGTCAGCAGTCCAGGGTCTGGGCTGAGGCGGCAGGCAATCCAATGTTATACAGGTGAGATTGGGAACATGGTCCAAAACCGTGTAGTGGTCTGACACCAGGGAAACAGTCATGTAAGGATGGTCCAGACAAGAGTGGGCTGGAGCTGGGCAGAAACAACCTGGAGCAAGAAAAAAAACACAGGAGCCAGGGCAAAGGCAGACTAGGATATGCAGGATCAAACAGGAGCAAGGCAGGAGCAGACTGGGACAAGGCAGGGGCAACTGGAGCAAGCAAGAACAGACTGGAGTAAGGCAGCAGCAAATGGAGCAGGGCTAGAGTAATGCAGTTACAAGGTCCAAGGCATGGTGATGCAGAGGCCAGAGCACAAGAAAGTCCTGAAGACTACTTGCGTTGTTGTAGCAAAGAACAGCAGTGCCAGAAAGCCTTTTATGCTGGTCTACAAGACCTCCAGCTGCACTGCATAATTGCTCTTCAGTTGTTCCCTGCAGAAGCCTGCAAGGGTGCTCCTGGATTTGCAGGCATTTTCGGGGTCACTCAGGCCCTAATTCTGACACTTTCTATTCAGACTAGCTAGTGCTAGCATTCCTAAGTTGCATTTCTTTTGTAGCCTGTCTTGCTAATAGGCTTTGGGTGAGGTCAAATGCTTTGAAGGTGGATGCAAAGGACTTGTATTCAATGGTGGTTTGTGGTACATTTCTGGCTACTTTGGCATTATCCATGCACATGGTTTCTAAATGAATGGTAGTGCCTGGGGCAAGTCACTGCTTCTCCATTCAGTAGCCATGTTACTTCACTGCTCTAAAGTAGGACCCATGGCACTTCTGTAACCACCTGGTGGTACCTTATGTTAGGTAAGCAAGATGCTGTCCCTTGTTCAGTGGTAGAATTTAGTAATCTGCAGGTAAGCCATTATAAAGAAACCCCTCTACATATGAATGAGTTCTGTTTTGAGAGTGTGTTTGTAAGTTCAATTTGTTCGTAAGTCAAACAAGGTTACCTTAGGTACCAAACTAACACAATTGGCTGTATAGTACTGTCCTGTAATTGGTTTATAAGGACACTGAAGGACTTCTGGAAGTTTTACTTCTGGGTACATGGCAGTGAGGAAGTGCAACCGTATTGTTTGTCTGATGGGTTCTTTCTCATACGGCGTTATCATTAGGTTGGTGCAATGTGTTACGCTTTGCTGAACTCATCTCTCTCAGTTATTACAGTAAAGTACACAAAAGCACATTGACATCTTTGAATGTTCGCAACTTCTAGGTGTGTATGCAGGGGACTTCCTCTATTAGCTTTCTCTCAAGCTTGGTTAAAAAAAACAATGGCAAATGTGAAGTTACTTCGACAATATTATTTTAATATGAAGAAGATGAAGGGACATATTCCTAGCCAGTTCAACAGGAGGTTTGGGTATAATTTTCCTTTTCACACTATACCTGAAGAAAAACTTGTATTCAAAGGCCAGTTATATATACATTTGCATGTAGAGTATTTGAACTTCATCTGTGTATGACCATCTTATTTGTGTAATGCTGTAAAGAGTTTCTTCATCAGAGCCTTTTGCCCCATTGTTAGTTTGCTTGTGAATAAGAATGAGGATTTCAAGAAGTAGCATGCAGATGTTCTGTGAGACCTGCAACAGAGGTGGCAGTATAAGATGGCTTGCTTGTTGGCTGAAAGATGCCTTCTCAATGTTCAAGAATTCCATGTTGTGTGAAGTATTCGGGTCATGTGAATCAAGGTTATGGCCACAGGTGCAGCTAAGTAATGTGAAGTTACGGTTATTAATTCTTGCCCATTCCTTTCCACCACTGTTTTCTACCACCCTGTAATTGAGACTAGAGAAAATTTCAGGGCTTTAAAACAAAAGTGTTTCAGATGTCCTTCACTTGACACATGTTAGTATTTTTTTATATTTATGAGCAGCATTGAATGTTAGATATTTGAACAATCTAGTTTTTGGTTTATTTATTAACTACTTCATGAAACATTTGTTACACTGCATAATTTTATAGAAAGCATTGTGCTTCCCCAAAGAACAAATTAACCATTTTGCTCATCAATCTGTTTTATGTTTAGTGAACAGCAACATAAAGGTCTTTGGGGGTTTTCTAAGAAGGTTTTTTTGACAGCACATAAAATTAATATTGCTTGGTCATGCTATTAACCTTGAGATTAAATTCAGCATGCTTTATCGTATGATTAATGCTATGATTAATACTAAACAGCAAAGGCTGAAAGCTTGGCTATTTGTGAATGCAAGCATGAAATGAAATTCTTTATATCTGCTACAATGATATGGATATATGAGCTTTGTTGGCTGCTAAAGATAAAGTTAGTGTTTCACAAAGTAATTTGTCAAAATGGTCAGTGATGAAGAATTGACTGTTCATGATATGGGTGAAAGCTGAATGCTAAATAGTGGTGACTATGTGTAAGCTAGTTTCCAGGGGTTAGAATCAAATGACAGTAGAAATTGAAGTGCCTTGGCATTTAAAAAAAAATCAATACTTTATTTTGTCTTGCAGAGGTATTTCGAAAACATTTTTAGGGATGACAAGCCTTGCTGTTAATTTTCAGATAATTGGTGAGATATCAGGGAATTTGCATGAAGATAAGAGGATGTGTCCAGAATATTTGAAAGGGAACTGAGGAAAGACTTTGAGAATAGATAACATAGGAACATATAATTGTAGTGATACGGTTG